CCAAATCATCCGTGTGCCATCACCATGTCACCATAGTCCAGTGCACTCCCCACCCCCTCATGCCCCCCTTTTTAAAATCCCATTCTCTTCTCCAAAAGGTGTGGTCTTTTTAATCCATGTGTGTGTGTGTAGGTAAGTTGTATGTGTGTGTGTATGGGGGAGTGATGAGAACAGTAAGCTTTTTAAAGGAATAGATAGGATTATTTGTCTATGAATACAGATACACATTCATCCATCTGGAGTGTCTGGGAAGCACTGATGACAATAACACTCAGCTCTGATCTGCTCTAGAAACTCCTCCCTACAGAGCCAAGGGACGACTAAGAACAGAGACCCTGGCCTGGCATTTACTTACTCTTAAACTACAAGACCAAGTCCAACCTGGATGGAAGGTCCAAAGAAGGGGAGTGTGGCCTCAACAGAGAGGCTCCTTTGTCCTAGCTCACCTACAACTGTGGACCCACATCCAAGGTGATTTCATGGCCTTCGTGGCTCACCCTCCTAAGCCTAAAACCCAGTCTTGTGTCTTCGAGGGGGAAGCAGGCCCTGTGGGTGTGAAGACCTTTGTGCCAGGCAGTGGAGCAGTGTGTTTGCCTCAGGGTCGATGGAGCAGTGTGTTTGCCTCAGGGTCCATGCAGAAGTTCTGATTGTCTCCACAGTGGTCCAGCTCCTTCAGCTCTGGTCCAGCACCATGGTTGACATTGGTACCAGAACTTTCCAGAGTTGACACAGTGATAGTAGAGATCTTTTTTTTTCTTAAGGATTTATTTATTTATGCATACAGAACTAAGGTACAAGTCAGAGGTGCAGGGGGTGAGAGGATTCACCAGAGACAGAGTGGGGAGCAGAACAGGCAGATCGACGAAGTACACTGCTGAGGGGAGAAGCGGGCAGGCCAGGAGAGGTCTGCCGCACCATGTGGGTCACCTCCCTGGCTGGGGATCCAACTCGTGCTACAGTGGCTGTTGTAGCTTCACAGTGCTGTGCTGTTGTGCCACCAGGGAGTGCCTGATACTAGAGATCTAAATAGTCCATCCAGCATTCAAGAGTCATTCTCATTATAACCATATGAACTACTGGCCTTTTTGCTGTAACTACTGCAAAGCATAAAATCCATCCTAACTCTTATTCAATGCATATCAAATTTCCCGTGTTGTGAGTCTTGTTAGCTCAGCGCTTCCATCTTCATTTGGGCATGCTGGGTGCTGGTCTGGCCTTCATCATTTGTTTCCAACATAGCAAATGGAAGGAGCAGAGGTGGAGTCAGAGTGTGACTGGAGCTGGCTGCTGAGACACTGCGAGGCACAGTGTTAAGCCTGTTCCTGCTGTGGGATCAGCTTGCAGTCAAGTGACTCCAAGAAACTACCCTGGCCAGCATAGGGTAAACCTTCTCCTCAGTGTGTATGCTGATGTGAGGAGGCTTTGGCTATCTCCTTCTTACCATCGGGACATTTTCTGTTGAACCAGTGACATGGGAGTTTCCTGCTATTCTGACTCAACTTATTAATTGCTATAATTTTCTTGCAGTGGTCAGTCTTTGGAAGGTCAAGGGACAAATGGTTTTATTTTATTTTTTAAAAAGTTTTATTTATTTATCCATACAGAGCTGGGGTACAAGCCAGAGGTGCAGGGGTGGTGAGAGGATTCACCAGAGACAGAGTGGGGAGCAGAACAGGTAGATCAATGAAGTTCACTGCTGAGGGGAGCAGTGGACAGGCCAGGGGAGATCTGCCACACTATGTGGGTCACCTCCGGGGCAGGGGATCGAACTTGCACTGAAGCAGCTGTGGCCAGCCTGCAATGCACACCACCAGGGAGGGCCAGGACAAATGATTTTAAAGATCCACCGAAGGTAATGAATACAGACTTTGCTGCTTTCTGTGCTGGTGAAGGTCTCCTCCCACCCTGGGATGTTGCCCCCCCGTGGGTGGGATCCCACCCTGGCAGCATGTTTGCCAACACTGGGTGTTGCATTAGCTAGTACTCCTTGACTCAGTCTTTCAATACCTGGGTATTTTCAGACTCTGTTCCTCAGAGACAAATCATAATTATGTGACAACTATTCTGAGTGCTTGACAAAACATTAATTCACTTAATTCTCATAACAGTCTTCCCCAAAGATGTACCCATCTTAATCGTCAAAATCGTCAATATACTACCTGACATAGCCACAAGGATTTTGCCAATGTGATTAAGAATCTTGATTTAGGAGTATTATCCTGAAATATCCATGTGAGGCAGTGTAACCACGAGTGGTCTTAAAAGATGGCGACAGAAGGTTTAGAGTCAAAGAGATGAATGAAATGCAGTTGAAGAAGCAGAAATCAGAGTCCAGAGTCAAGGAATGCCATTAAAAAAGAAACTAGAAAAGGCAAGGAAGTGAAGTCTCCCTTAAAGCCTTTGGAAGAAATGCAACTCTGTTAACATCTTGGTTTTAGTTCTGACTTCCGGAAGTACAAGGTGAAATTGTGTTGTATTGAACCACTAAGTTGGTGGTAGTTTGTTATAGCAGCAATAGAATACTAATCCACCCAGAAACCACAGCATAGATAAGTTATATAAGATGGCCAACATATTATGAAAAGTAAACGATAGAGCCCAAATCTGGAGCTAGGCTAACCTGTGTGCTTAGCCACTCTGCCACACTGTCTTCTGTGGTGGATAGCCTCTGTATTCACCAAATACATGCAGAGGGAATGGTTTCTATTCTCTCCGGAGGAATAGAACTTAATTAGAATCATCAGACATGACTGAATTAGCATAGGCACGGGACAACTCTGCCTGGCTCCTAAACTCTGTCCCTGACAACACCACTCTCTTGCATCCAGTGAGGTCAGCCAGTTGTCCCTAGACTCCCAAATCTGCCTGTGAGAAGCAGTATTGACCTCCTTCCTCTATATCATGGTGCATACAAGGGTGTTTCAAAAGGAGGGACTCCAAGCAGAGCCTAATTGGCATTTATTCAAATTGTGATTAATTGAATACTTCATCTGCACCTCAGAAAACCACATGGGGTACAGACTCTGCAAAGAGGAAGTAATTTTCATTAACAGGATCTAAATTAGCCTGACACAAAGACCTACCTGTGCCTGTGATACAGTTAATAATTGCCATATAATAAACCTGGTGCTACAGACAAAGGCTTCCTTTCTCTTTTTAAATTTTGCCCACCCTCCCTCTCCCATCCCCCTCCCCCTCCCTCCCCTTCCTTCTCTCCCTCTCCCCTCATTCCCTCCCTCCCTCCCCTTCTCTCCCTCTCCTTTCTCCCCCAACCTTCCTTCCCTCCCCTTCTCTCCCTCTCTCCTCCTTCCCCCTCCTCCACTCCTCTCCCTCCCCCTCCTCCCTCCCCCTTCTTTCTTTCCTCCCTCTCCCTCTTCCCCTCCCCTCCCCCTCCCTCTTTCTTACTCATCCTCCTTTCCTTCCTTCTTTCTTCTCACTTTCCCTTCTCCCTTCCCTTCTTTTGGATCTTTGTGTCAAGCGAGTGACGATGCCAGAGACTGCTGGACTTGGGGCGCAGCTGCTCCTGTGGTGAGACTCAAGGCAGGCGAGAAAAACAAACACCTGTAAGCAGATGTGAACTTGGCTTCCTGTTTCCTTCCTCCTAAACCATGCACTTTATGTCTCTCATAGAACCTTCATTTTTTTTTAAACTGGATTTTCACCCATAATTTTTCTTCCAACTCCTTCTACTTAACTACAAATACAGGCTGAAGGGGATCGCGCGCTTCCAAGGACTAAGGCTCTTTTAATCCTGTTATTTTTGAATGTAAACATGAGCTTGTCACACCTCTCATAAAACATCTGGTGAGGCAAACTGCTTCCTGGATAAAACTTCTGGGGCATTCCCCTGTCCCTTCACAGAAGTCCACTGAACCTCAGCAGGGCTCATCCACGGGGCCCCTGACCAGGTGGGAGCTGGGCAGGCTGACACCATTGCAGCTTCAGAATGCGCATCCTGTCAACATGAGTTTAGTGGGAGTTTAGTGGGAGAGCGGGCTATTCCTGTAAGAAGGAAAACACTTTTTTTTGCTTAAAACAAGAGATTTTGTTTTCTGTATGCACTAATTATTCAGTCATCTACAGTTTTAGAGTTGTGGCCAGGCCTCCAAAATCCTCGCATGTAGTCTGAAGAGACCTTTAAGAGAGGTGAGTCTGTGCCATTAGGTGTTTCTAGTCCATTTTATTTTACTTGCCACTAGAGGGCGCTGTCTGCTTCCGTGTCTGCTTGTGTGGGGCAGTGTTGTGGGCAGGGCATCCAGGCACCCTATGCAGCATATTCCAGTGGTGTTTTGGGTCTGCCTTGAGACTTTTGCCCACCCATTCCTTAGCTCAGTTTTGTGCTGTGAGTTCTCTGTGCAATCTCGAGTACGCCAGGGTAGATGGGGAAGGGCACTGCTGGCTTCCCAGCCCGTGAACTGGTGCAAGCTCACTGTCCACAGGTGTCAGCTGACCTTCACGCCAGCCAGAGCCCATCTGTGATGACTGACAGGCGAGGCTTGCAGGCTACAGACTTGGAAAGCAGAGCTGAGCGTGGGCTTTCTCGTCAGAGTCCAAAGACTCTATGATGGCTGGTGTGTAATGCTGCCCTTTTATCCCACTCATGTCCTCTAACCCTAACTTCGACTCTACTAGCTTCAGGTTGAAAGTAGGTCAAGCTCAATATCAGGGAAAGAAACACAGTCTAGGCCACGGTGGGCCAGGAACCTGCCAATTCTGCTTGTACCTCAGGACCTGGGGCTGGAGGGACCCTGTTCTCTCCCCCAGGTTTGGCGTGCCTGGGAGCCATCCCAAGGCTCACGGTGCTGAGTGGGTGTCAGTCACTGGGGAACACATCTGGGTGGCAGGGCTCATGAAGCTGGAAGAAAATCCCCAGGAAGAATGATCCAGATGGACGGAAAGGAGTCACAGACTAAATGAAAGCTCCTGGCTCCCCTGGGTGTAGAGAACACCTTTTGGCGCTGGTGTGTCCCTTTTCTTAGCTTCTCAATCCTCTCTTCCAGATCGTGACCATCTTGGCCAACATGTCCATGCTAGAGCAGTGCGCCTCTGACATCATCCAGGAGAATGGTACGTGGTTTCAGCAAGTGCTGGTTGTGCGATTGATGCGGCTTTGCAGGACAGTGCTTGTGTGAGGCCTGTGGGTAGGGGTGGAAATAAGGACGGGAGGTCTCTGCCTTTGCACGAACAGATCTGTGTACTAATGTGTGCAAGCACCTGGCAGGTCGGCTGCCTGGCAACTGGGAACAGAGTGAGGAGGCTTCCTCGGACTGGTAAGTGAGGCAGCAGAGGTGCTGATGGGCACGAGTGAGGGGGACCCAGGCTACTGCTCTGCTCTTGTTCAGCTCCCTTTTCCCAGGTTGCCTCTTTGTTTTAACAGACCTATACTCTCGCTTCCTCCCCACTGCTCCATTAGTGGTAGAATGATACAATTTTTGCTAATTTTGTCACTGAGCTGACAGGGAAAAGCTATCTTGAGCCAGTTGAAGATGAGAGGCCAAGGGGTGTCTTCCATCAGCACTTGGAGGCTTCAGCTCAGGTGGTCAGCAGAGGAGGGTCTCATAGGCCTGTGGATTTAGGGTGGAATATCTGAGTCTACAGAGGTTCTCATAGGTCACACAGTGCCACTGATGGACTCATCATGCAGTCAGCGGTTACCGCATAGGACAATGTGAACAGAATGGAGAAAGCCTTCCCTTTGTCCTAAGCGCTCATCCCCTCTGCAAGGAGACCCCAACAGGAAGAAAGTGAGAGATGACAGAAGTATCTCACCTCACATGGAACAGTGAGGCAGAGGGAGGATGGTCAGTGGTTGAGACCCTGAAAATAGGGAACAGACTGTCTGGGCTTTACTGCTCACCTTTTTTTTTTTTTTTTAAAGATTTATTTATTTATTCATACAGAACTGGGGTACAGGCCAGAGGTTCGGGGGTGGTGAGAGGATTCACCAGAGACAGAGCGGGGAGCAGAACAGGCAGATGGACGAAGTACACTGCTGAGGGTGCAGTGGGCGGGTCAGGAGAGGTCTGCCACGCCATGTGGTCTCCTCCGGGGCAGGCGGGGATCGAACTCATGCGGAAGTGGCTTTAGCTTCTTAGTGCTGCGCTTTAACCCGCTGCGCCACCAGGGAGGGCCATACTGCTCACCTTTTTTATTTTGACATTTTATTTGTTTTTATGTAGAAGAACTGGGGAGTAGGCCAGAGGTGTGGGGAGTTGAGAGGATTCACCAGAGACAGAGTGGGAGCAGAACAGGTGGGTTTTAGTGAAATACACTGCTGAGGGGAGCAGTGGGAGAAACAGGAGAGGTCTGCTGCACCATGTGGGTCAGCTCCCTGACCAGGGATTGAATTCAGGCCATTGCAGTGGGACTTCGCGGTGATGGCACTGGGCCTTAACCCTTAGGCCACCAGGGACCTGGCTCCTGACTGTTTTGCTAAGTGCAAGACCTCTGTTTTTTTCATCTGCAAAATGGCAGCAATGGCAATACTTGCCACATAGCGATGTTATGATGATTAATATAAGCCATATTTGAAAAGTGATCTGGCTCAGAGTAAATGCTACGTTGAAGGTATCTGCTCTTTAGGAATCAGTGGTAGTTTCAAGAGGTCCAGTGGAAGAGAGTTTGATGAACGAAATATTTACAGAAGGGGGGCAGGACTGGAGTGTCAGCAATGTTGAAGGCCCCCCAGTCAAGACAGAGCAAGCTCGGCATGCAGGCTGGTTTGAAGGACAGTCCTCTTGCCAGTGTGTTTGAGATTCTGAGGTGCCGCTCCTGGCAGCCAGGTGACTTCATCTGCCCTGCCCCACTTTGCAGGATGAGGAGGGCTGGATGGAGGGGCCGCTCTGGGGACCAGAGACTCAGAGGACATGGGGAGCAGGCCAGGGCCGCCCCCTCTCTCACTTGTCAGTCCAGTGACATCCTCCTTTCACTAGTTCTGCTCTGTTCTCAGCAGTTGGGACTGAGCTGAAAACGTGCTGGGGAGGGAACATAGCATCGAGGCTAGTCTGTGCAGCTTTAACTCCCCACAGCTCTTCTGCTCTGAATCTGGTCAGCATAATTTAGGAAACCCATTCTGGATTTCACTGGGCAGCCCTGATTTCGAGGCATCCTGTCTTTTTCTAGTTAAGACTTACAAAGTATGTACTTACAGGAAATGTTGTTTATAGACATTCGTAAGATTCTTTGCGTGAACACAGTTCTAGCCATTCATTTGCTAGTTGTTCAACAAATATTTGAGCTCAGCACTCTTCTGGGCTCTTTGCATATATCCATGGAGGCAAAGGACACACACAAAAGTCCTTGCCTGGGGAGTTTACCTGTTAGTATATGAGAAACTGAGATTCCAGGTGCAAAGCTTGCATTTGGAAATTGGCTTCTTTAAGGGGACCTTGGTCAGGAGGCCTTAGTACAACTGCTTAGGCTTGTGGCTCATCCCAAAGCCAGCTTTTGGGTGCCCTTTATTCACAACCCCATAGACTGTCACATTTATACCACAGGACAGGAACACTGTGTCTTCATCTCAGGGACACTGTGGCATAGAGGGAGCCTGAGACCACGTTCCATTCAGTTGCTGGGAAGAGGGTTTGGGAAGAAGCACCTTGCCCAGAGAACTGTGTGTGGTGGCAGCGTTAAAAGGAGCTAAGAAAGGCATGGCCTGTGGGACCCCTCAGGTCCATCGGAAGGAGATTTAGGATACTGGAGAAGATCATTAGGAAGAGAAAAGACTCCTCCTCAGGACTGAATAGTCTCAGGCTCCATAGGGAAGTAACTCAGAGCCTCTGTCCTGGGATCCAGGAGCGTCAGAATTGCATCCGGTTCAGGGTAGACTCAGGCATGTGCAGAGTCACTGGAATCCACTGACTCCCTGGGAACATGGGAAGTCACTTCCTCTCTCCAGACCTTGGTGCTCATGGGGACATGGGGGAGACAGAGGGCTAGGCTAGAAAATTTTATGGGTCCTTTGGACTTCACGGTATGTCAGAGGTTGCACAAGGAATCCAGACAGGAATATAAACAGGTGACGTGACTGAGTAAGGACTGGGTCAATCCCATTTGAAAGCATAAGTCATAACAAGCTCTAGCAAACTGTTGTCGTGCACAACTGTGGGCTCAGTGCTTTTAGATCAGGAGGTACTTTCTTTTTTTTAGAAACAGGAAATTTGGGATCTTTATGGACATCTCCCAGTTTTCCCATTAGCAAATTAAAAAACATTATCGACACTGTGTGGAGCTGTTAGACAAACCAAAATAGCTCAGAACCATGCTTGGTTTTGGTTCTGAGCTGGGAAGTGCATCTGGGTGCAGAAACGTGGATGTGTAAGCTGGGGAAGTTGGAGAATTCCTCCTACAGAAGATGGACTTTTTTCTACAACCTGCAGGACGGGCACTAATTAGGTGGGCATGAAAGGGAAAGAAACAAGCGGGTTAGCCAAGGCCTGAGGTAGCAGTGATGTGGGAGCAAGTTTGCAGGAAAATGAGAAGGGAGTTCTGATTCCTGGGGAGGTGGAGAGGTTTTGCAACTGACTACATTGTGCCTAAAGCTCTCTGTGCAACTGCTTTACCCTCTTCCACAGCTGGCATACCATCTAGAACAGTTCATCTTGTGATTACCCAGCCTAGGTTTGACTCTTGCTGCCAGGTGCCCATGACCGCTGGGCCTGCCTCAGATGCAGCCTGCCCCAGAGGTGGAGAGATGACAGAGTAACTGGATTGCCTCAGTTCTGACACCAGCTCTCCGGCTACTAACTGCGTGACATGGCCCTTCTCTCCAAGCCTCAAAGTGAATTATCATAATACCTGTTCACAAAACTATTTGCAGGTTTCAAGGGATCATGTTATTTACTGTGCATTTTGGCACAATGCCAGGTATGTAGGAATAGCTGTCCGGCCCGCCCTGGTGGCGCAGCTGGTTAAAGCACAGCATTAAGAAGCTAAAGCCACTTCAGCAAGAGTTCGATCCCTGCCCCAGAGGTGACCCACATGGTGCGGCAGACCTCTTCTGACCCACAGTGTCCTTAGTCGATCTGCCTGTTCTGCTCCCCACTCTGTCTCTGGTGAATCCTCTCACCACACCTCCACCTCTGGCCTGTACCCCAGTTCTGTATACATAAATAAATAAATCTTTTCAAAAAATAATTGCTGTCCCTTTAAGCATAGTGACTTGGTACAGGGCACCAGGGACTCACCTCTGTCGAAGGAAGTGTCTTGTTTGGCATCTTCCCTGTGGTCAGGATCCTCAATGTCAGCCAGCCATGCAGCTGGGGTGGGCGCCCACTGTTCACCGCTTCCTGCCAGGGCTCCAGCTCATCCTGGGCATGCTGTCTGAGAAGCCACGGTCGGGGACCCCCGCTGAAGTGGCAGCCTGTGAGAGAGTCCAGCAGAAGGCTGCGGTGACACTGGCCCGTCTCTGCAGAGACCCAGTGGTGGCGCGGGAGGCCGTGCGACTGAGCTGTAAGTGTGCAGGCTGGGGACCCAATGGAGCAGGGCTGGGGACGGGGTCAGCCCTGATTTTGTGGTGGCAAAGGGGACTGGCTGGGGTGAGCCCCACTGTACTGTGCTGGAAAGTGCCAGGCTGGAAGCCCTAGGGAGGCTGTGACCTGGGGCTGAAGTGAGGGGGGAAGGGCCTGGCCAGGTTCCAGTTGGCCAGAACAGTGACTCCCTGCAGGCCTTCTGTTCATAGGGCCGCTTTCTTTCCTTCACTCAGTCGCTTCCCATTCTCTTATTAGTTCCTTTATTTGCTTGCCTATTTGTTTACTTTTCCACATATTGACTCCTGAATCTGTCCCTTTGTTCGTTTATTTATTGATACTTTTAAATTATCTATCTATGTTTTTTTACATCATTCTTTATTTTGTGCATTTTTTCCATCTCAGTTGTAATCCCCATGGGCCTCCCACCACCAATTCACCCATGTGCCATCACCACAGTCGAGTCTTCCCACCCCAGTTCTGCTCCCATTCGCCCTCCCACCCCCCCAAAATGTTTCTGGTTTATAGTTGTTCATTGTTTTCATTTTTACTCTATTATTAAATCTCTCTCTCTCTCTCTCTCTCTCTCTCTTTCTCTCTCTCTCTCCTTCCCTTATGCTCCTGCTATGAGTGAAATCATCTGATATTTTTCTTTTTCATTTTGGGTTATTTCACTAAGTATGATCGCTTCCAGTGCCATCCATATTGTTGAAAAAGGCATGTTTATCCTTTTTGATTGCTGAGTAATATTCCACTGTGTATATGTACCACATCTTCTTAATCCAGTCATCTATTTTTGTTCATTTACTAACTCCCTCAGTACAGCACTCATTCATTCAGTCACGTATTTGCCCAGCAATATGTTTGGAATCCCTGCCATGTGCTGCTCTATTCTGAGAGCTGGGCACAGAACACTAATGTGACTCTGGCCATGTAGGCGATGGTTGATGCAGGTGGCAGACATGGAAACAAAAATGTCTAGTTGTGTGCCATAGAGGGGTATTCAAAGCACTTCCCTGGCACACTCAGCACATGGGGTGGGGGAGAAATGCACACATATCTGGATGGGTCAGAGTATTTTCACAGGGACGTGCATCTTCAGTGTGGTTTCAGGGCTACTCGGGTGTGAAGATTAAGAAAGGGGGGTCCAGGTAGAGTTGTGAGAATAGTGATTGCAGAGACCTGGACCATCCAGGAAGCCCAGGGACAGCAAGGAGGGACCCTGGGGCAGCAGAGGGCTCCTGCTCCAGTGTGCTTCTATGGAGGATTATCACATGTTGTATACCTTCTGCTGTTATCTGAGAATGCATTGTGCATTGCACTGTTTTTGCATTTTATTTTTAGAGTTTGAAAAGTCAATTTTCATTGAAAAACAAAGACATACATTTAACTCTTCTGTAAAGGTCTAGGAAATTCTGAGCTACTGGCAACTTACTGTAATTTTAGCCATCCTTTATTTTCTGACTAAAATAGACAACTGGTTAAACAACAACAAAGGATACCAGGTAGTGCCACTGGTGAAGATTTCAATATTAAACACGGCTGTGGTAAAGCAGAAGTTTCTAAATTGAAGCGCTGTAGAAAGACTGGGGCAGAACCTCGTGCTGCCACCCCCACTCAGTTCGGTCCTGGCCAGTCTTCGGGTACTTTAGGGTTTGCTGTTGATGCTCCGTTCACCCTGCTACATTACTAACTGACCTGGTCTCCACCACAAGGGCCTCTTTGGGTCCAGCCCCCTCCTTGGGAGTTTGGCTCCATGAACAGGAATCCTGAGCAGCGCCTCGCTTCACAGAGCCCAGCAAAGGGCTGCGTGAGAAGGCGCTGGCACCGTCTCATGGGCTGGTGTAAGATTCTCCCTGGTTCTCTTGCAGGTATGTCCCGTCTCATTGAGCTCTGCCGATCGCCCACTGAGAGGAACAGCAGTGACGCTGTGCTTGTGGCCTGTCTGGTGAGTCTCCATTCCCCAACTTCCTCCTTGTGTTGGCAGGGAAACCAGGGGTGGCCAGGAGAGCAGGTTGTGCCGTGTGGGCCATGTCAGTCACAAAACTTATGTAGGCTCCAACTTGTCTCTTTAAAATGGTGAATGCTGATGAGTCATACATTGATTCATTTAATTCATAAAATTTAGTGATTACATGTGGTTCCTTTTAGTAACCACAACCCTATAAGGTTCATCAAGATCAAGGCTAGAGGCATCTGAGAGCAAAATGTTGGGGGGTGATGGTGATGCTTTGGTGTGGTCAGCACATGGGAGTCCTAGGATGTTCCTGTCCCACAGTGGACATTGTGAGAAAGCCCCCTTCCTCTTTGGACAGGGCCTCTCTCCTTGCACGCCCCATACTTGGTCCCACTTACTCCTTTGTGGACTGGGACTGGTCAAGATTAGATAAGACCCGATAACATTATCCAACAGCCCCCAGGATCTTACTCCTGGATCAAGCAGTGGATCTGAGGAGGCCCCCACCCCACTTCTTGACATCTCCACCATGAGATGTCAGCAGACCCAGCTGGGGAATGCTCTTTGTCTCTGAACTTCTCCCTGTTGGGACTTGGTGAATCCCAAAGCAGAACAGCTGCCAATTGGATGCGTGGAGGAGCAGAATGTGATTGTCGGAACGGGCCGCTTAACTTCCAGAAGGCTTTGCCAGATCCTGGGGAGGGCCTCAAAGAATCAGAGGGAGATAGGTCTGGAGGTGTGAAATTTAAACCCCCTCCTCACTCCATTTTTTTTTTAAATTTTATAACAGTTTATTTTTACATCATTTTGTACATTTTTTTTTTTTTTAACCATCTCAATTGTAATCCCCGCGGGTTTCCCATCACCAAGTCACCCGTGTGTCATCACCATAATCTTGTGCACTTCCCTCCCCACACCCCCGGTTTTGATCCCATTCCCCACTCCACCCCTGCAAAATGTCTCTGGTATATGGTTGTTCATTATTCTTGCTATTTTCTTGCCTGGTCCATTATACTCCTGCTATGAGCGAAACCATCCGGTATTTTTCTTTCTCTTTCTGGCTTATCTCACTAAGCATGATCTTTTCCAGCTCCATCCAAGTTGCTGCAAAAGACATGTGTTTCTCTTTTTTGGTTGCTGAGTAATATTCCATTGTATATATGTACCACACTTTTTTATCTAGTCATCTACTTTTGGGCATTTGGGCTGCTTCCATGTTTTTCCAATTGTAAATAAAGCAGCAATAAACATGGGGGTGAAGGTATCTTTTCAATCAGTGTTTTTCTGTCTTTTGGGTAGATACCTAGGAACCTCCTCACTCCATTTTTAATCTGATCTCCTCTCATTTCTGGGAGCTCCTAAGAGGCATTACAGATAGACAGACCTATTGGTTGTGCTGTTAGTGGGATATGGGGCATTGGGTGGGTCTCCAAGTGCTCCAAGTTTTAGTTTAAACATTTACTGAGTGATTCTAGGGCCACACCCTCTTCAAGGCTATGGGGCTACAGCTGTGTGGGAAAAAAAAAAGACACAGTGTCTATGCTGCTTTCCTGGGGCTTTTTTCCTGATAACTTTTGAAGAACTTTAGCCATTTTTTGGCTTTTAGCCATTTACCTGGTTTTTTTTCTTCTCAGGTTTTAAATGCATAAAATAAAAGGCATAGAATTAAAATGGATAGCAATTATGTATTAAAAATAACATTTAGACACATGATACAGTAATATATGCACTTTTAAGATCTACCAGTGGAGACCAAAAACCCGTGGAGAGTGTAAATGGTATTTTAGGGCACCATCATCAACTGTGGTGCGATGTGGAAGTGTCTTGGTTTCTACTGAAACTGTGAGCCAGACGCCATGAGTCTACTGGTGCGCTGCCTTGAGTTATTGCTACATTCACAACAGAAGGAAATTCTGTCTCAGTTAAAGATTTTGTGAATAGAAGTCATTTTTTTTTCAAGTGCATAGACCTTATTCCTCTCTAGTCTTGTGAGTAAAACAGAGAGAGCTCGTACCTGGCAAACATATTATCATTGGCTCCAACTACCATTATCTTCACAGCTCAGGTAGCCAGCCACTGCCTGATACTGAATGGGGCCTGAGGCCTAGGGGAATAGGCCCAAGAGTTGGGGACCATGTGCAGTGGGAGACTTGTTACCATTGCTTTTCCATTGTCACTAGTTTGATGAAGAACCCACAAAGGGTGTGTTATGTCCTCTTGTCAATCACTTGGAGGACTTCCCAGTGGATTAAATCTATCATTGTGGAGGAGTTATTTCATGCTCCCTGCCCTTCCTGGGAACGCTGGCCTAGTTTTCTTCAGGACAACTTACTACCATGAAGCCTCCACGGTCCATCAGTTCATGGTTCTTGATGACCTATGGCTATTGCTTGGACCTGGGCCCTGGAGGCCACTCACTGTGTCCAGGCCCTGTGCAGACTGAGTGCCCTAAGCTACCACAGCACTGTGCGTTGGCTTTTGCCCCAAGCGGATGCCTTCACTACACCTCTGCCTGCCTCTCTTAGAGGGCTCCGCTCAAAATCCCTGACCTCCTGGCCTCCCAGGGACTCTCTGGAGCTCAGGGTGGGGGAGTTCACAGTCCTTGCCATGCTGTAGGCTGCATGTTACTTTCCCAGTGGGAGGCAGGCTGTGCTGGCCAGTGTCCTGGGTATTCTGAAGAGATGCTCTTGGAACTGGAACACAGGCCTGCCCGACACTGACATTTCCACCAGATCATCTTGTTTCCAGCCATGGTCTCTTCCTGTGTCTTATGCCTGCCTTTGCTTCTACTGCTCACTGCAGGCATTGCAGGGATTTTTATTTCACCCCTCAGACCTGGAAACTTAGAGCCCTTTCCCAGCTCTTTGTGTATTCTTAGGTTTGGAGACTGTTTCTTCCCTGACTAAGGGACTGCTAGGCTTGTCCCCAATCCCAACCCCCCCCCCCCTTGGTGGGTGATTGTGGTTTTGTTCCTCGAAGGGGCTCCACCATTTCATCCTCTGGTAGACAAGATGGGCCCAGTTGAGATATGGGAGGGAGCTGGAGGTTACCTCTTCTGCCCTTCCCTTCTTTGCACTTTCAAAGTTTCTCCAGGTGGAGGGAGGACATTTCAATTATCATCTCCCACATCTGGGAAGTGGCAGCGTAGATTGCCTTTCGCAAACAGAATTGATTTTCCCTTAATGAAGCGGCTGTCAGTGGGCTTGTTTAAGACTTCAGTGTTTTCAGACTGTCTGGGAAGGAGATCCTGGGATGACTGGCTGTTAACCCTTTGAGGGATGCAGAGACTCTGAATGGGAGAAGGGTCCTCTGGGGCTCTTGGGCACTGAACAAGGTGTGCTGCAGACTTTTGGGGAACCCTGGGGAGATGAGAATTCCTATTTGCGGTTGTGTTTTTTCAGATCTTGTTCTAGTTCTCGCTCTCTTGTTTCTCTTGTTTCTTTGGGGTGTCTCTTGTTTTTCCTTTCTTCCTGCTCTTTTCACCCCCATTCCCCTCTCATCCTTCTCCTCGCTCTCCTTCCTCCCTTTCTCTTCCTCCTACCTCTTTCATATGTGCCCCTACCCCCACTTGGGGTGCTCTTTTTTGCCACTATTTCTGTCTCTTTCCATCTTCCCTCCTTTCCCAGTCTCTATATTCTCTAAGTTCACTTCTGCCTCTTTGTTTTAATAGTTATTTCCTTCTAGTTCTTTCCCTCTGTCTTTTCTCTCTTTTTTTTTCTCTTTTCCTCCATCTCTCTTTTTCCTCCTATTTAATTTTCTTTCTTCATAAGGCTTTTTATCTTTCTTTGTCCCTAAACTTCCTTTGCTTCTTTTCTATCTCAGTGATATAAGATGCATTAATGAGCTCATCTCCTCATCTGCTGAGGACTCTGGATTCCATTTTGAATTGTGCCAACTCAAAGGCACAGTGGGGTTATTTTCCCCAGTTGTAGTCCAGGCAGGCTAAGGAATTCAGTTCTTTTGCTCTTGGGGAAATCATACCCTTGGAGAGGCAGGAAAGTATCCTGCAATTGCACTTCCTGCTACCAGTGATCAGACTCTTCTCGGATGCACAGAGACACAGGCCCCTTCTCCTTGATCTGGCCTGGCCATGACAGCACCTATTGCTCTAGCCCCCAACTTAGGACACCCTCTCTTTTTACTACCTTGGTCTGAATTCTGAGCAGTAGATGACCTCCCACTCTAGATAGTGAGATCTGCTTCTGCCTTGTAGCCGGTACCTACTGTCATGGGCTTGCAGCATCCTCCTGTGCTGGGAGGAGAACCCTGGAGTTCAACTGCTATGTGATCTTGGGATAACCGCTTTCCCTCTCCAAGTCTTAGTCCCCCCATTTCTGAAATGGAGAGCATGGTTCCTCGCTGCATCAGGTAGGGACTAAATGAACATTATGTGCAGATACAGAAAGCAATGTTCTTTGCTTCTCCTGCCCTTCTAGATATTTCTTTTTCTGTCTATTTCCCAGGAGAGAGGCAGCCATAAGCTCCCACCTTGTTCTTGGTTGTGTCCATGCTTAGGGAGAGGGAAGGAATTCATCTTCATCAAGGACTTAGTATGCATTGCCTCAGCTCACTGGTAAAGAGGTCTAGAGAGGTGTACAGCTCACATTCTCAGTTTCAAGTTGCTCTAGCAGCAGAACTCAATTTTAAAACATTCCATTTGCTCATTTTGTTTTCAGCAAACATCTGTTGAGACCTGTGCCAACTCCTTTCCAGCCTGCCATTAATACAGAGACATACAAAACAATCTCTATCCTTGAGGAGCTTAGAATCTAATGTTCAAAACACTTAAAACTCAATTGTACTCAAGTGGAAGAAGGTTGAGGGGCTTTGGGGGTGCAGGAGAGGGAGGGAAGGGCTGTGTCTGCCTCAAAGAAATCAAGGGAGGACTCACAGAGGAGGTGACAGTGGGCCAATACTTACAAGAGGAATGGGGTTGCTAGCAAACAGTGGAGAGGAACTTTATGCTGTAGGAAAAACACCTTTATGCCTGGTTGTAAAACAGGATGATATGCTGAGGGAACAAGGAAAATTTTGGTGTGTGGGGAGCTGGGTCATGGTTTCATTCCTCCTGTACTACTTCTAGTTGCTCCCCATCTTGGTGGGGAAATGATCTCCATCTCACTTTTAGAACCTTCTCTCTCTTTTCTCTTCCTGTCCCATATGCTTTGCTCAGAACTCTTCTGAGTGTGCAAATTAAAGAATAATCCTTGTCCTAAGGTTACTTAGGTACCTAGAAGCAAAAATATAATTCCATTGATACTTTTGACAGTTCAATTCTCTAGGATGAACAAATCTCACACTTAAATGTTTCATTCTGTTGGCCAAATCTTTTCAAGGCAGCTCTTTAAAATAATTTGTTTCTGTGATAGAAAAACCAACATGGCAAGACCATGGTTAATATCATGAGAAGCTTGCCAATGAAATTCACCATTGCAACCCAGCTGCAAATGAAGCCAAGTGACTATGTGATATGTTTCCATGGTGATGAGGTGACCAAAAGGACCCGGTCACTCAGGTGTCAGGTGATCATGCTCAAATCAGCTACCAAATGAGCCACATTCTAAAATGTATCTCTCAGGGCTCTGAGAAGGGAATCCGTGCCTTGAGTGGACCCACTGTGACCTATGTCATCTCTCTGTTGCTCCCCAGGCTGCGCTACGTAGGCTGGCTGGCGTCTGCCCTGACGGTCTCCAGGACTCCGACTTCCAGCAGCTGGTGCAGCCTCGACTTGTGGACTCGTTTTTACTATGCAGCAACATGGAGGAGAGTTTTGTGTAGTGGTGTAGTGGATGAAGGGAGGAAGGGCATTGGGCCTGACCTCCCCTGAGTACACACTTGGAACACACAAGTGCTCACCAGTTCCCTCACCTCCTTATTTATACTTAATTTATTTTTTACATGAAATAGACAGAGGGCAAGATATTGTAGCAACATCAGCCAGCAATCTGTGGTCCTTAAGGGTCTTTTTTGTTTTAATTTTTTGACTTCTGTGACTTTATAGTTGCAGATGTTGAAATGCATGACTAATGTGACAGATTGTCATGGGTGATTTCACTACATCTTGCTTTCTCTACTCTCTCTGTATACTCTTTCCTCATTTTTTTTTTTTTAACTTTGGAACCAGAGTATTTTAAGTGCCTAGCAGTCTTTTTTAACTTGGATTCGCTCTTTCTAAAGGATTTTAAATGACTTTCATAGTTGAAGGAAAGTTTTATTCTTTAATAAACAGAATCATATAGAATGTGTCTTAGATTGTCTCATTAAATTACGTCTTAGAGTAAATACTTTCTTCCAAGGTTTCATGTCCCCCCAATCTTCCCAGCTATTAAAAGTGCACCGAGAGTTTTACTGTTTCCATTGTGATAAATGGGTCAAGTTCTAAGTGATTGAGTGAGGACTCAGAATGATTTCTGAAAACATTGCTAAGTCCCTCAAAATGCACTTGTTCTGCTTGTGGGTAGCCTCCTGGTGAATAGAAACCTCAAATGAGATTACAGTGAACAAAATCTCTTCAAAATTATCCATGAAAGCAGTTATGTGCCAGAGCTGGCTCACACCACCAAGGGACAATGTGAGGATTTTCCCCCAACTCTATCTTTAGCGGCATTATGGGGGTAGTTTGAAATTGATGTTGTTGAGTGTATTTATACCACAGGAATTGGCAGGCAGTATAAATCAGAACTTTTCCTTTTTCTTTTTTAACAGTTAGTTTCCAAATGCCATTTCACAAATGTTTCAGAAAAATCTTGAATCCTTCTGAAATCCTTCTGAAATCCTTCTGGTTTAATGCCATCATACTGTAGTATGATTTTATGCAATTCATGAAATATTTCTTGAAGGCCTGGTGGCGCAGCGGGTTAAAGCACAGCACTAAGAAGCTAAAGCCACTTCTGCATGAGTTCGATTCCCGCCTGCCACAGAGGTGACCACATGGCGTGGCAGACCTCTCCTGACCCGCCCACTGTTCCCCTCAGCGGTGTACTTCGTTGATCTGTCTGTTCTGCTCCCCGCTCTGTCTATGGTGAAGCCTCTCACCACCCCTGAGCCTCTGGCCTGTATCCCAGTTCTGTATGCACAAATAAATAAATTAAAAAAAAATATTTCTTGAATTCCTATTACTCATCTCAATGAGTTAACCTATTTTATCAGGTTCTGGTTTAAATATATTACATGCATTTTCTTATTTATTCTTCATAATGATCATATAAAAATGCCAGGATGCTGCTTAATAACTTGCCCAAGGTCACATGTTTGTGTGTAGTGCTGGAGTCTGTACCCAGTAATAATTGTTGGCAGAGTTTTTTCTCTAGAATCCTCCGTTATAGAGAAAGGTAGTGTCTGGGTTCTCCTACCTGAAAGGATGGTGCAGAAAATGATAACAATATTTGCAATGTGCCAGGTACTAGTTTTCTATTATTATACTTATGTTAATTTACAGATATATGTGAACATCTATTGCATATACTAATACTCAGTTTTTCACCTAACTGTGAAGGAGCTATTATACCCATTCTACAGGTGAGAAATGGAGACAATTCATTTTTCTGATGAGACCATAGAGCTGAAGTAGCAAGTAATGTCAGAAAACCTAGGTTTCCTGCGCCCTTCCCCAAAGCTTATTTTAGGAATAAGATTTTGTTATATCAACATATTTAGGTTGTTGAGAAATGTTGGCAGTTTTCATATGATACCAACAAACAACTTCTGTTAATATTACAATTGCTTTATCAGAAAAGTTTTTAAGTGGTAGGGTACGATCGAGCTTGAAAGCTCCAATTTTACCATTGACAATAAATATTGTCAACTATTTTTCTTAATGTGACACACTCACTTTGTTCATTTTTGAGAAAATACCTGGCAAATATCTCAGTCTCAATTGCCATAGTTGTTGGTTTTTTTTTTTTTTGTCAATTATTCTTTCAAGCACAAATAGTGTCCCATGGGAAAAGTGACTTGCTCTCTTCACAAGACAAGTAAGCACACAAATGCTTTTTTCTTAAAGCTGACACCCACCCTGTTTTGGCAAATGCAGAAATGTCTTCAGTGTAATTCTCACTTTTATTATCTAGCATGAGTGTGTGTGTGTGTATGTATATATATACATATACATATATATACACATATATACATATACACATACATATATACACACATACATATATATACACACACACACATGAGAAAAAGATACATACTAAGAGATCAAGATTTAACATAAGCCACATTTTTTACAGTTTCACAATGAATATTCCCAAGTGACATTGGTACTTGAAAACTTTGCTGAGTGGCTGGCAGGAAGAGCACGATCACTCTTAATATAGTTTGGGGCTTCTGCCTCAGTCTCACTTAGGTACAGTTTTATTTGCCATGACTTTTGCACCATTAGTTGGAAATGTCACCAAATGGCAAAGTTAAGTCACTTCTTATTGTGAAGTAATTCTGTCTTTTCTCACCAAACTCCTGAATGGGTCTTGGGAAAGCCCAGAATTGTGCCCTGCTTTGAGAACCACTAATGTAATTTAACCTTTCATTTCACTGAGGGTCTGTGTTGAAGGGAAGCAAATGACTTTCCTAAGAGCATACAGAAGGGGGGACTAAAATCCAGTGTATCTTGGGTACAATGTCAAGCCTTTGTCTGTTCCCCCATACCAGATCAATAATAGGACAGGATGGAAAGAGACTAAAGGAACCAAGTAATTTATGCCAGAAATCTCTGCTCATGAGCAGCGCAGTCAGGGTCCTGGTAGGAAGTAGAGTTTAACTCAGGTGGTTCCAATAAAGACAATTTCACAGAGAGAACTTGAAGAGGGTCCTGTGGGTAGAGCTATAGGTGCTGCCGAGGAATGGTAAGGCACCCAGATATGTCCAACAGCTGCGAGTCCTCACCATCCTCAGGGCAGAAGTAACAGTGTCACCAGAGTCCACAAAGAGCTGGAGCCTTGGCAGAAGAGCCACCTGGCCAGAGCTGTGGGAGACACAGAGCCTGCTCAGGGAGGCAGCAGGACAGACAGCCAGGCCTCTCTCTTCCCAGCCTCTGGTCTCTGTGTCTCTGGCTGGCTACATATTCTACTGACAGACCAGAAGAATGGAATTGTCACGAATAAGCTTCCTGGAGAGAGAGGTTGGTAGGGGTATGGGGAATGGCCTCAATCCTCGCAGCTGGGCTTCAAGAGAAGAATCCATGGGGATGGTGGCTGAGGTGGTGGGGGTGGGGTGGCAGAATCTGGGAGAGGGAAATAGGTTGTATAACAGGCCTCACGGTAAGGAAGAGAGAGAATCACTGGGACTGGTTGATGGTAGAACAATCCCAGGGCCCAGAAGGTGGTGTGATTGTAACTATGCATCATTCTGGGAAAGAAAATTCTAGAGAGACAGTAAAAAGTCAGTGTCCCCTTCCTGGATGGTGTCTTGAGGCATTCAGAACAGTCCAATGTTTGACACAGTCTCAGCCTACCTCACAATACAGCCTCTAGCGAACTGAGGCTGGCCTGGCCCCCTGGTAATACAATTATTTATCTTTCTACCAAAAAAGGTTGGGAAAGAAAAAAAAAATTCGTGTAGTGTATCCAGGCCAACTACAAGGAATTCATGCATGAGATTTAAGGTTCTTATGAGGCTAAAGTGAAAAACTAAAATCAAAACCAAGCCATGTCAGCAGGCCCTACAGCAACTCCCTACCTGTGACTGTGTCAGGCAGGATCCATCAGGTGTTTGTTTCTCTGTGAAGAGCTGGAAGTCATTGTCTATTTGATTTTTTGAGTAATAATAATAAAAAATATCAAAGGACTTGTTAAGAAAAAAAAAAAAAAGGAAGAGAGAGGTTGCCAGGTGTTAAGGAGTGGAAGAGATGAATAGCCAATGATTTGAAGGGCCTGTGTTTTTATTTTATAATGTTATTTGGAAAGGTAGAACTTCTTCGAAAACATTCTCTTTCAAAAGCTCTACCTTTCTGTTTTGAAAAAGGACATTTGAATGAAAGTGGAATGAAAGGACAATACCAAGCTGTGAATGGAATTTATACAACTGACTGGAAGGTGGGAGAAAGTCTTGGCCTCCCTCTAGGCTACAAAAAATGTGCTGGGCAGGATGGCTGACTCAGCTTCAACTGAGAAGACCCTCTCTGTCCCTCCCTGCCCTCCTCACCCCCCATTGCTCCCACCCCCCAACTTCCCCCTACCCCTGATCCTCCAACCCCCATTTCTAGTACAACTGTGAATATGGACTGCAGGCTCGGCCACATCTGTGGGCAGCTTATGTCCTACAGGGCTGCCATAAACTGGAGTAGAACTGAAGACACAAGGCAGAGAACCCCACTGTGGGACTCAGAATAAGGAGAATGTGAAGGACCTTTCCTTAGCTCAGTGGCTGCTTCTCGAGTTTGCCTCCGTGAATGGTGCAATCGCTCATCCTCCTTAGTGAGAATCTCTGTGGGAGGTGTAGTCATTTTAAGGAAATCTTGTCATGCTCACATTTGTGAGGTAGGTGTTATCATGATTCCCATGTAAACCCTGCACTATAGATGTGGAAGGTGAGCTTTGGAGAGTATACAGTGTTGCCAATATCAACTAGTTAATATTGATGGGGCTTGAGTTCATGTCTGACTTTGTTCAGGGGCTAATTATGACTAAACCAGGAACTTCCTTTCAGACACCGACTGAATTGTAGATAGTGTTCTGGACCTTTGCAGAACTACCAGCTTCCAGTAGACATATCATGAGACATAGCATATCTGGCTCAGGAAAGTGAAGTAAGATTGAATAAGTGCTGAAGTTACCAGTCAGTTTAGATCAGAGGGTGGTAGGTTAGTTGTTGGTAAGCCAATTCCTTAAAGGTGGTTAGAACAAATAAAAGCTCTGCAGCCTATCTGGATTTGAATCCTGGCTCTATCAGTTACTGTGACCTATAGCAAGGGGTGTAACTGCTCTGTGCCTCAGTTTCCTCATCTGTATGATGGACTAATTATAGTGTCTCAATCACAGGATTGTTGAGAAAACTACATGTGTTACTACATGGAGAAGGCTTAGACTAGTGCTAATGACAAGTGCTGAATAAGTGTGCTGTAGCTGAAGGCCACCTAATTCTCCCTTCGTGTCTATTCTGGTTGCCTGGTCCTTGTTAATGGTGCCTCTATGTAGGCCAGTGGCATGGTAGAAACAGAGACTTTCATCCTGTGAAGGAGCCAGAGACCACCCAGCCCTGTCTCTACAAGGAAAGATACTTGCCTGAAGTTACACAGGAAATAACAGAAGAACTGGGATTTAATCCAAGAAATAACATCTACTATCACCATAAATGCCCTTTTTTTTTGAGCACACACTCTGTGCTAGGCACCATGACACATACCACTGTACTTGATTTCTAAAACGACTGTGCTAAGTAGTCATTTTTTGAAAAGGTTTATTTATTTATACATACAGAACTGGGGTACAAACCTGAGGTCCAGGGCCAGTGAGAGGATTCACCAGAGACAAAGTGGGAGCAGAACAGGCAGCTCTTCAAAGTACACTGCTGAGGGGAGCAGCGGGCTAGACAGGAGAGGTCTGCCGCCACCATGTGGGTCATCTCCGGGGTGGGGATCGAACTCATGCGGAAGTGGCTTTAGCTTCTTAGTGCTGTGATTTAACCCACTGCACCACCAGGGAGACCCTAAGTAGTCATTTTTAATGACTTTCTACAAATAAGGAAATTGAGAGATTTCAGGTCTTGCTCACCATCACAGAACTGGTCATAGAAGACAGGATTTGAGCAGACTACCTGGCAAAAAAGCCACCACCACTTCACCTGGTCTACTGTTTGATAGCATTTATGTCTGTGTAAGCCCAAACATACCATTTGATCTTAAAATGGGAACCTAGCTCTTCTGCAAATTCTGAACTCAATATT